AACTGAAACGTTCTTCTACTTCCTCGTGTAGATTAGGCAGGACATCTGTTGCAGTATGGAGGCATGTATGTTTTATGTACACGTACTCAGAACTTATATGTTATTTCATATGTTATACTCGGTCTAACATGCCAGATGCATGCATAGGTGAAAATACTCTGCGTCCGTTATACGATCCCGCTGTCCCTTTCACAAGGTGGACTGCGCGATGATTGAGACGTGATGCATGACCATCTAGCTATCAAACACCAGGTAGAAAAGCAATGTGTGCTACACCTGAACGTCAATTTTGGTACGTGTATGAATCACCTTTGCTGAGCCCGTGAATATAATGGGCGTTCGCATTTGCTTGAATGAAGGGCAACTAGTGAGTCCCATGAAAGAGCGACACGGAAAGGTTATACGGTCTTGCATTTTTACAGGATTCTCACATGCCTTTTGCGAAGTGGGAGTCAGCCAACTATTTCAAGTATACCCAACATTGTATACGAAATAAATCTTTCTCTGCAAGCTACTCTATTATTCGTCATATCGCTGTCATTTGTTGCATCAGCGTGTACACTCAGAACCTGCTGCTGCTTTAGCCACGATCATTACTCAAGTTGTAGTGCCTTGTGTGCTTTGACAAATAAGTGCAGAGAGCTAGGTCTCGTGACAAAAACTTTCCGGTTAGTACAATCGCATTGCGTTGCTTTACTTGTGGGGTGCAGTCTGAGGTGCAGTGCGGTGCAGTCTGAGAAACCCAGTGAGAAACACTATCATCACCGGTGTCGTGGACGATGGAACATGCCTACCGATTACGCCTACAGTAACATGACAGCTTTGCCGCAGCGCAGGCAGAACCACCCTCTACGTAGAAATGCTCTCACGTCGGGGGCAGCGTGGGCGTCTGACGTTTCGTCGCGTTCTCGATCTCCACAATCGGGCCATAGTTCTCTAGCTAAGATCTTTTCTGGCGCCGTGTCAAGCCCGATAAGTCCTGCCAGGAGTACTTTCGGCCGTCTACCTCGACGCGTCCAGTACAAGGAAACGCGAGATCTTACCCAGGTGGTTGCATCACCGGAAGTCATCGTTCGAAAATATTGCCCTGAATAAAACACATATTTACTCTACGACGTGCGCCATCGAGGCCGGGGACTTCTGTGTGTAAGTCAACGATGTGTTCGTCATCGAAAACAGGCACTTCTTGCAACCGTCTTTTTTTTCTTTTTTTATTGTACTCAAAGCTTCGCACACATGGTAGGTGTTCGCAGGGTGTGGAATCTCCGAAGCTTCTTCCCAGCAGCAGTTAGATATGAACAACCACCCTTCCGAAGAAATGCGAAACGAGAAGGCTTGTCTGTTATCTCTTGCAAAAAAATCTTCATTAAAGTGAGCTCTCGACTAGAGCGATGCGAACACTAGGATCATGTTCACACTGTATAACAATTTCATCAACCATTGTGCAGTAAGCTTTTCTACCTCTGCAATGCTAAACACATTGTCATAATCACTGGGGCCAAAGCTGACAGCAGCCACGATGTTCCCCGGTGCCAAAAGTTTTCGTAATATCGACAACGGCAGCGTTTCGACAAGCGCAGTTGTTTACACTTCCTGCCCACCTTCTACAGCGGGCATTCACATTGCGAGTGGTGTGACACAAGCACGATAATCGTCTCCTCGTTTCGTGCTCTTCGCCTTGTTGCGGTGAAATAATCAAACTACTAAACCGCCAAACTGAGTACGAAGCAGCGGCGGCGCTACACGAGCCGTACCGCCAGGGCCTATATCGCACCAGTATGAACGGTCGTGGTTCCGCGTTTACGGTCGTGGTCTAGAGCGTGCAGACATCGTTTTCCACTCCTCCGCGGCACCGGATGCAGGTCCCGTTGTGCGCGTACTGCGCGCACTTACCTTCTCGGGCGCCATCACTGCGCCAAGCGAAACGACCTTCTCAGGCCGGCGCGGCCAAAGACCGAGAGGCCGTGCACGAGGGGAGAGCCCCGCATACGTCAGGAACGTCGCGCGGGCGCCCGTGGAAGGTGTCTGAGCGGCATCTTAACGAGTGCAAGAGTCGCACGAGGAAGTTCACGACGCGCGGGGCTTCTCCGTTCGGAACAAAGGCTTCCTCATTGTCCCCGCCGGGGCGGGTCCTCTCGCCCCCCCCCCCCCCCCACCACCTCTCTCCGGCGTTCCTCCCGCCACTTGACTCTGGTGATGACTGCGGGCGGCTTCTTTGTCTCTGGGGTTTGCTTGCGCAAACTCGACCGGTGCCTTCTTCTTCTGGATCTCCTTTTTCGTGTGGCGGGCGTCGCGGGGCTGTTGCCGGAAACATCAGCGCAAATGTGCACCGCCGTCTCTGACACGTGGGAGGTGCCGCCGTCGCTCATCGCGTCGCCTAAGCTAATCGCGTCCCGTAACGGTCCTTCCCGCTAGCTGTCGCCGGATCCGTGCCGGACGGAAGATAGCAAAAGCTCAAGTGAGGCGCGCCTTGAGAATGCCGCTCGGCGCTGTGTCGCGGCGCGCGGCATAATTACGCGACGTATCGATTGTTTCTTTACTGGGACACTATCCATCCGCCCTTTTCCGCCCCGCGCTGCAGGTCTGTACTACACGGTGTGCTGACTTGTGCCGTTACTGCAACGCGACTGAGAGTTTCCATTACTGAGCCATTCTTTTCGTTCTTCACGTGTCGCTGTAGCCGGAGCAGGGAGACACGCGCTCAAGAACAAAAGCTGGACACCGAGAATGCCTCGGAGTGTTGCGCTGGAGGAATTACTCAATCTTTTTTTGGTGCTGTTACTGGCAGCGAGGCAATTTTGCTTCTCTAAAGATAGACCAGGAAAGCTCGCGGCCGGCTCTTTACACGGTCTATAGGCGAGAGGTGGCAAACAGTGGTGCGCGACGGCTGTCCCTCACGCTGTGCGACGCAATTTCGTAACTTGGTGCCATTGTTCTTCCTGTTGATTCGGTCGAATGAGCCCCGCGATGCATATGCGAACCAGTGCGTGAAGCGAGGACTTGACGAAGAACATAGAACACCGAAATAATTACTTCCTCGATACAAGAAAACGACGTTGTCCGAAATAAAAGATTGACGCCCATCCAGCTGGACAGCTTTGGTAAATAAAAAACAGTGTATAACACTATTAACCAGTCCTCAGACCACTGACGGCGATGGAGAAGACGTAGAGGAGAGTAGCGATATAATGGACTAGATCAATTCTTTTTCCGCATTTGTTTCCGTTCTGATATATCAAAATGAATATTTTATGATATCCAGTAACCTATCTTTCATCTCCGAATTCACTATAATTTTCCTTTTTTTTTCGAAAACACCACTGATTTTGTGGCATTAGCGCGAATGCACGCTCGACATGTATTACTCAGGGTTACTTGTAGTGGGTAAATCATCTAAGAATTGAGTATCACCTAATCATTGACCACATAGTGACTACAATCGACGTGTCGCAGCCAACTGCTGCCCAACAACAACTCATTTGGCTAACAAATATTGACATACTCTCATTATTTTGAGAACAGATAGGTAGGCTGAAAGGTCTCTTCCCTGTGTGTCTTCGTCCTTTGCTGCAGCATTACAAAGTGATAACAAGATGAATAGCCCTACATTGCTAACCATACTGGAGTGCAAGTTAGCTGATATAATTAATTAAGCCCAGTGACCACGACGTCAGGCTTTAATATGCCTTTGTGCAATTCATAGCGATACATTCCACCGTCTAAGCTAATTTCCCCCGAGTCAGTTAGCGACAACAGCGCCAAACAGTACTTCACGGCATTCATTTTTTTTTTTCTGCTGCACTGCCGCTGGGAGGCGGCCCTCACCAGCGACGATCTGGCCGACCAGCTTTGAGCCGTCCGACAAGCTGAAGATGCTGCCCGGGTGCAACGACTTCGAGCGGTCACCAGAGGCACCACCATCATAATTGACGGAGAGTGGGAAGGGGCAGGGGTTAATCCCCTCTTCCCCCACCTCGCCCGGTGAAAACTGCCGGACTTTAAATAAAGTTTATTCATTCATTCATGCAGCATGGAACGGAGCACACATGTGAGACTTTAGTTTATTTAGTTGCTTTACTGCCCGAAGTATGAATTCGAAAGACGAATGCCAAAGAAGAAAAAAGAGTTCAAATTCGGACAAGCTTTATCCTTAGAAAAACGTGACTCGAAGGATTGTATAGGAGTAAGTCATCTACAACAAAACATATCCTTAAAAGGCTTTTTTTCTCTAGACACTCTGTCAGGTAAGCATTTGTGATGTTGTTTACACCCTTTACGTATAAAAATATGACTCTTTGCTCTTTACTGAGGACTAAACTTGACAGTAAATATGCGTTAGGTTCTATAATTACTTACGTATATTTAGTGTCAATAATATATTATTCATCTGCTATGCCGAGGGCCCTTGATTTGATTTATTGATATGTGTGGTTTAACGTCCCTAAACCACCATATGGTTATGAAAGACGCCGTAGTGGAGGGCTTCAAAAATTTCGACCTCTGTGATTCTTTAAACCTGCGCACAAATCTGAGCACACCGGCCTGCAGAATTCTCGCCTCCATCGAAAATGCAGCCGCCGCAACCGGGATTCGATACCGTGACCTGCGGGTGAGCAGCCGAGTACCTTGGCCACTATAGACCACCACGATGGGGCCGCCGAGGACCCTTGAACGGTTACATAATGGCTACCACGCGTACAGATTATTCAGGTAACATCGTATGAATGAACGTCAAGAGTCATTGCGGCATCACTATCTACATTATTTTCAATGTAATTTCATGGACTTATTTACTTACTTAATTGCTACTTCACTGTTTCCCTCATTTGTTGTTGCCCAGAAAAATGGGGCTCACCCTAAATATTTTTTTTCAACTTTCTCTACAAACCAACAGGAATAAAACAGAACATAGCTAGGGAAAAACCAAGAATAAAATTTTCATCAGTCTCCTCGTTTTCCCTATTCTGAACCCGTGTACGACCTGCATGAGCGTAACTCACCTGCGAGCACGCATGGCGTGAGGCAGAGGAGCGCCAGCAGCAGTGTCCACCACCGCCGCCGGCATTTCCTGGTCATGCTGAGGGACCCTGAAAACAAGGATAAAAATAAGTCATTGAGCTCAATATTTGCAGCATTGTGCGAGTTTACGTGTAGTATATACGTATACTGCCATCTTTTGCAAGAGTATGAAAGCTGTTGTGACGTAAAACTTCAAGCTGTCTCTCTCTTTTTACGTCATGATCAAAGGCCTCCAAACACCCCAAAGTATAGGCAAAAATCGAAGCACACTGAATAATCGACCGTAATTCCAAAGAGGGGGAAGAAACCAAGGACTTGTTCCTTTGTTAGACACAACCTAAATAAACCGACAATGCAACCAAGGACAGTATTGGGGATATTATTTGTAGCGTTTGACTGTATACATATTGAATGGTACGGAATCGAATCGGACGAAAAAGCACATTTGCCACCGGCATGGAAAGAACCTACAACCTCCGGACAGCGCGAAGCCTGTAGGTTGAAGAGACAGGATAGAACCTGTCTCTTCTGCTCAATTTTTCATTCAGTGACTAACAAACATAGACGCATCATGCAGTCACGGCATGCTGGATGGCTCCGCCCACGGGTGCTGCCACAGTAAGCGTGGCCGGCATTCTTGTATACACTTAATAGTTTTATGAGCTACACGTTGATGCTCCGCCTTCTGGCTGCACAACGGGAGCATATACTTCGTAAAGAGTCATGACACCACACTTACGTCGGTGATTGATGACAGTCACATCAGGTCATGTTGAGGCAGACCATTCGATAAAGTCAAGTTTCATTAGCATTTCCCAATCTTGATTCTTTTTACTTATTGACATGATGTAAGGTTATTCCGGCGCACAAATAAGGCATCGACAACTAATTAGCTCTTAGAGCTAGCGAACATTGAGCATATACAGTCCGAAATTTGCAAGCATAACAAATGTGCAGCACTTAGAAAACACAACTTAGCATTAAAGTCAAGACATAGCATAAGAGTAAAAGCAACATATCTTCTAGCACCCAACAAAAACTTTTGTAGCGCGCTAACTACGAAACTTACCCGTATATACATATGTATTTACACGGTTAAGTGTTATCATTTGCGCACTGAAGAAGTTGTAGCTTCGGAAAGTATATGCATGGCCGCTGTATTGAGGCTTCAATATCACATTGTAATGAGACGGTGTGGGTGAAAAGAGGGGGGTTTCTTGCTGGTGCGAGCGAACAAAGATCGTGTCGGTGAAACAGAGAAGCGACCACCATGGCCACTTTATACGAAAATGTGGAAAGTCGTGGCGCGCGGGCGACGCGTTTGTGCACGTCGACCATCGAGTGCGCAGAGGAAAGAACACGCTGTTGCGCCTTTGTGTAGCGTGGTGCGGACTCGGGCCATCCGAGTCCCCGGAGAGGACGAGTAGAGAAGCCGGAGAAGGAGAAAAAAATGTTTATATACAGTATTTACATGGTAGCGTGGTACAACATGAAAAGAGAATCACACACGAGCGCCTCTGCGCTAGCGTTTTTATACATCGTCCGCCTTCCCAAGATCCCTTGCAAAGATAATTTATGCGCAGGATACTCCAATGAGATCGTCGTCTTCCTCTCCGGCCCCGAAGAGGGAAAGCCAAACACCGCCTCCCTCTGAACCTAGGAAAGGGGGCAAGGCATGCCCAGTTCGCTGTTTGGTGAGGGAGACCCCACGCGCCAGCGTGGCACCACAGTGAGATGACGTGGAATCCCATGCGCAAAGTCGCTCCCTGATGCAGCCAGGTTGACTCAAGCAAGGCAGAATACCCCGTACAGCTGCTGGGTCGACGCTGCTTCGGAGTGTTGCTCTCGGCGGCTGACAAAAGCTTGGCCAACGACTTTTGTGTCAAGAGGAGCCGGCGACGTGGTTTTTCCCGATTGTCCGCGTCCGTCGCCGTCCCGGTGCAGGGTTGACTCATCAACAGCTGCCAGGTGCCAGCAGGCCGCGAAGACCACGTGGAACTTGGGCGAGGCACAACAGCACCCCCGCCGCCAGATGATACATCGGGAGGTCGAGTTGTTCCATGCAGCTCGGCCGGGTCGATGTCGGCGACGTTCCGGCAAGGCTCTTGCTTTCTCGAAGGGCCTGGTCAAACTGGAATGCTCCAAGAGCTGGCCTCTGCGCCCCGCTTCGGTGAAAAGTGGGTGACAAGCTCCAAGAAACGACCTTTGTCAGCCACACACAATGCGACAAGCACCGCGTGCACGCCACTCTCATCGCCAGGCCTCAGATTTTACAAAGCAAACATCTTATCTTAATAACTTAAGCTCAAGGAAACAATGTGCATACCAATCGGGACAAGTGTCCAGTAACTCTTTCATACGTAATTCCATTTGGAATCGAGATAACATTATAATCAAGCTAAACAAGCAAACTGTAGAGCTCGGGACAACGAGGGAGTCAGTAAAAAATTTCTCTATGCCCTCACTGTAACACATTGAAAAAAAAAAAAGTACACATAAACTAGGTAAAGGTAAACAAAAAAATCAAACAAACCTTCCGCGTCTTTTGACGAGTCACAACGCTCGACTTAGGGCGTCTGCATTTGTATGAAGGCCACCTCTCTTGTAGCGCACCTCGAAATTGTGCTGCTGCAGTGCTATGCTCCATCTGAGCAAACGACCATTCTTAGGTGACATTTGGTGTAACCAGGTTAGTGGAGAGTGATCAGTTTCTATAATAAACTTAGAGCCAGCAACATAGCAGCCTAGTTTTTGTACGGCCCAAACAATGCAAGCACATTCTTTTTCCGAAGTGCTATAAGCCTCTTCCCTGCTGCTCAATTTGCGACTCAAATACAAAACCGGCCGCTCCTCTCCACTCTGGTCCGTCTGACATAGCACTGCTCCTAAACCGCGTTCGCTTGCATCACACTGAATAGTGAAAGGTTTTGCAAAATCCGGTGCCCTCAAGACGGGTTTCTCACTCAATGCGTGCTTCAGCTTCTGAAAAGCGTCTTCCTTTTTAGAGTCCCATTGAATGTTCACAGGTTCGGTCTTGCGTAAACTATCTGTCAAAGGGCTGGCAATCTCGGAGTAATTCGGGACGTAATGCTGATAGTAACCTGTGAGGCCGAGGAATGCTCTCATCTCGGTCTTAGTGCTGGGACGACGATAACCGACCACCGCGGCTACCTTGAGTTCGGACGGACGACGACGCCCATTTCCTACAATGTGCCCTAAATAGCTTACTTCAGCACAGCCCAAATGACATTTCTCTCTCTTTACCGTAAGACCTGCATTTTTGATCCGTTCCAAAACCATCCGAAGGTGTTCAACATGGTCTTCCCATTTGTCCGAAAATATCGCCACATCGTCTAGGTAAGGCAGCGCAAATTTCTCGAGCCCGTGGAGAACCTTATCCATCAGGCGGCTGAAACAATACGGCGCGTTCTTGAGCCCAAAGCTCATCATCAAAGGACGAAAAGTGCCCAGGGGTGAGATAAAAGCAGCGTATCGACTCGCGCGCTCTGTCAAATGGACCTGCCAATACCCCCTAACAAGGTCTAGCGTAGAAATGTATTTCGCCTTAGACACTGTCTCTACCCTCTCTTCAATGTTAGGAATAGGGTAAGTCTGGTCGATTGTTACAGAGTTCAGGCGGCGATAGTCCACGCATGGCCTTGGATCACGGCCCGGAATCTCAACCAAAATCAAAGGCGAGGTGAAATCACTGTCTGCTTCGATGATAACACCTAGGTCGATCATGCGGCGAATTTCGGCCTCTAGTATCTCTCTCTGTCTAGGTGACACCCGATACGGCTTACAGCTGATCGGCTTGTTAACCGTCAGCTCAATGTCGTGCTTAATCACATCCGTTTTGCCTGGCTTCTCGGAGAAAACGGTAGCGAATTCCTGTACTAAAAGCTCTAAATCTTCCTCTTGAGCCTTACTTAGGGTGTTCCCTGTGTCTACCCTATCTGACAATGTGCTGCTGACCGTGCCATCGGAAAGACAAAGGATTTCCGCGCCCTCGTCCTCAGGAACATTGAGTGCAAGGTTTACTACTGCTTTTCGTCGCATGTAGGGTTTCATTAGGTTACTGTGATACACTTTGGGGCATTTCCGGCCCCACTTTACCTCGTAGTTGGTGTCTGAAAGCACTGACATCACTGTCGCTGGTCCCTCCCATTGTACGTCCAGCTTGTTTTTTCTTGAAGGGCACAACAGCATCACCTCATCGCCCACTTTAAAGACTCGCTTTCGAGCTGACTTATCGTAACGGGCCTTGGAAAGCGCCTGTGCTGCGCGCATGTTGCTCTCCACCACTTCGCGTGTAGTCCCCAGTCGCCCCAATAAATCCAGTACATAGGAAACCACATTAGGGTCCTCCCCATATCCAGTCCATGACTCTCGTATCAAGTGCAGCGGACCTCTCAAGTTCCTGCCGTAGACAAGTTCAGCCGGACTAAAACCCGTACTCTCGTGTGGGGCCGACCTCAGAGAAAACATCGCAGCTGGTATACACCCCTCCCAGTCACTTTTATGCTCAAAGCACAAAGCTCGCAAAACGCGTTTCATGACCGAGTGCATGCGTTCCACAGGGTTCGACTGTGGATGGTGAATAGAGCTATGCGCGATTTTTATCCCGCAGCGTTCTAGGAATGTAGTCGTAAGGCAGCTTGTGAACACACTTCCGTTGTCACACTGTATCTCCGAGGGAAAACCCACCCGAGAAAAAATAGACAACAATGCGTCCACCACGCATACTGAACTCAACTCTTTCAGTGCGATTGCCTCCGGGAACTTGGTGGCAACGCACAGCGCGGTCAGGACGTACCGATATCCTGATTTAGATGGAGGCAGAGGCCCCACGATGTCAATCACGAGCCGACGGAAGGGTTCTGTGATTATTGGCACTAGTTTCATTGGTGCCTTCCATTTGTCTGTTGATTTTCCTATCCGCTGACAAGTGTCGCATTCACGGACAAACATCTCTACATCCTTCCAGCACCCGGGCCAGTAGAACTCCTGAGCCAGCTTAGCTTTCGTTTTCTTTATACCTAAGTGGCCCGCCCAGGCGTTGCTGTGG